AACTCTTAATACTTGTACCGGAACTGTCTCTATCTCCCCAGCAAACTGCCCAGTCGATACCAAAGATTGGTCAGATTGTGGAGAAGACTTGCTCGGCTGCCTCAAAGACCATCAGTACATTGCTACTCCATTCCTCCTAGAGGTCATCGAAAGAAACCCACCAACATTGCCAAAATTACTTTCAGTACACATGACCTTCCCATTCGTATCTACAATGATGGACAATCCCTCCCTGTTCAACCATACCAACCTCCTCCCCGTCAATGTCATAATTGTTGGCGATTTGGAATCCTACCAAACACTGCCGCTCCACAGACCGATGCCCCCTCAATGCCCAACTCGGTCATAACAGATCAAACTGCCCTGCACAAACACGCACATGTGCTAACTGCGGCGGCCCCCATAATGTATTTTATAGAGGCTGTCCCACTTACAAGTTCGAGTCTGAGGTAGCAGCTCTCAGATACAAAAATGGTCTCACTCTGCGTAAAGCCAGATAGGAAGCACGGACTAAACGTTCCACCCCGTCTTCCCCTAATGCACACTCACCGCCACCTACCTTTACCTTTACTCCTCAGACACCAGTCTCCTCCCCCCCCATAAGAAAACCTTTGCCCCACAAAACTCTCCAACCAACTCCACTGCAGAAACTATGGAAGACATTCAAAGCTATATGCTTGAGACACAAAATTCCATAACTCATGCTCCCTCCACACTTGAAGTAATGGCCTATATCCATACCCCTCCTACTCATATTCCCGCTACACCCCTTCCTCCTACCCCTCTCAACACAGCCTAACCCTCAATTCCGTCCACCACCGATATCCATCCTCTCGATACCCATCCTCCTGATATCCATCCCCCTCTTACTCATAGCACCCCTACACCCCTTCCTTCTAATCCCTCCCAAGACAACACATCTTCAACTCCAACTATCCATCCTTCCGATATCCATCCTCCCACCACTAATATCCCCCCCCCCCCCAGATTCCCCAACACGTACCGTCGCAAACACACACACACACACACACACACACACACACACACACACACACACATATATATGTATATATATGTATATATATATGTATATATATATATATATATATATATATATATATATATATATATATATATATATATATATATATATATATATATATATAATCGTCGTGATTGAACTTGACACACACATACACACACGCTCACACCAGCAAACGCTCGTACGTGTACACACACACATACAAACACGCTCACACCCTCAAACGCTCATACGTGTACACACACACACACACATACACACGCGCGTACACACTCAAACACACACACACACACACATACACATACACACCCACACACACGCGCGCACTCACACACACATGCGCACACACACACACACACACACATGCACACACACACACACACACACACACACACACACACACACACACAAACACACTATTGAGACAAAAATTGAGAATATGCTTTGCTTCAGCAAAGGCCATCACATTTTTATCGCTTTGTTTTTGTTTTTCTTGTGTAATGATTGATTCGCGTGTGTTGTGCCAGCACGATAGAGTATTTTGCCAAAGAAAACCCATGTTTGCAAACATTCTTATGTATTAATAAATATGAAATAACTAAATAAGAGCCGACCAACGATGTAAACAAACGACGGACCTATTTTTTCCTCCGACACTTCTGAAATTGTATCAAATTTAGTCTCAGAATTGTCTGAGACCTTTTGTGGGTACGGGCCCAGGGACGCAAAACCAGCTGGCTGCCGCCGATGCCCACCGTTGGTGCTGGTGCTGGCTAGAAAAGGGAGGAGTCGCCTAGTCTGGACTTCTCACTTAGTGGGGGTACCTCACGTCCACTACAGGTCTGTGGGCGTCGGTGATGATGTGTACTTAGCTGTGTAGTCAGAAGTGCAGTAAATGGGGAATTTTTTCTCTTGCGTCACCCGTTCGTATTTTGGGTACCTTTTGGACTCGAGAGGTTTAACAAGCTCATTTTATGTCTGATGCCTAAATGTGTTTTTACAAGCAATATTCATACTCTCATGCATTTCCTATAATGTAACTAAATTCGCCCCTACTTCATAAAGTATATATGAAGTACCATGCCCTCTTGTCTCAACGGGAAAATGCCGAATTGTTACTTTGCAGAGAAAGGTTTTGTGTAACAGCCATGTTCTGGCTTAATTTATACGTCACATCCATTGTTTTACTGCACAGATGACTACATGTGTTACATATCCAGCAATACCTGTACGAGCATATTTAACGTCATCCATCTTAAGAGAACCCGTCATGAATATTTCGATAATGAAACTTGCACAACAAACAAATATTTGTCCTACTATTAATAATATTGTTAAAATAATTTCGTCGTATTGTTTGACAATTTCTCCGTGCGAGGAAAAAACTATTGTGCAAATTAATAAATATAAACGTGACATTTTTCATAATTGCAGTCGGAAAACTTCTGCCGTTAGGTT